TTTCTATAGTTGAAAATGAGTTTAGAAGACTTGAAGATTTAATGGGTGGACCTTTAAGACTCTATGGTGACAATAAGTCACCAATTAATATCACTCACAATCTAGTACAACATGATATAACTAAGCACATTAAAGTAGACTTAACACTTCATTAAAAAAAAAATTGGATAGTGGATTGATTTGTATTCTGTATATGCAAACCATTTCACAACTTGCCGATGTTTTGATTAAAAGATTAAGTAATCTTGTATTTCAAAAGATTATTGCCAAGTGACAATAGATAATATCTATCACCATCTTGAGGAGAGTGTTAAGAAGTGCAAATTAGGGTTTCTTTAGGTTAAAGAATATATTGGTAGTAATATCATGGATCTTTGTATTATTTCAACAAAAAAATCATGGATCTTTGTAGTTTTTATAATTGTATTGTTTACTTTTATTATTACTATTCACTTGTATATGTAGGGCCTTATCATTACTGACCTCTAAGATTTTCATGGTGGTGGAAATTGCAGTTAATTTGGCTGTTGCACTTGCTAACAAATGTCAGCTGAAGGTGGGATTGCTTGATGCTGATGTATATGGACCATCTGTTCCAACCATGATGAACATCCATAAAAAGCCTGAAGCAAATAAAGGTAATATTTTAATTCTAGAGGGTTCTATAGAAGTCATTTTGTCCACGGTGGAATTTCTTTATTGCGAAAGCTTCTATAATGGTTTTAAGATTTCATAATGAATATCTGGTATAGTTGTAACTTTAATATTTGTATTTATCTTCACAATTAGTAACGGGTGAATGCATAATCTAGAATGGGCTTCGTAGTCTCTAGACATGTCTTAAAATGGCAATTTGAGCTCCTGGCAAATTACTAATTCTAGGTTTTTTCAACTTCATAATTCCTTGTTTTTTTAAATTCCTTTTTGCTTGAATCATAGCAACATGCACAAAGAATTTGAAGTTGTTCATTATTGTTCATTATGACAATGACCCATAATATTCAAATGGACATTGTTGCTCATTTTTCTTGTTATCATTAACATTTTATGTGAAAAAAATTAGTATTGGAATGGAGAAGAAAATAATAAAAAGATTTGTTTTTAAAGGAAACAAAAGAAAAGTGTTTACCTTGTTTGGATAACTAAAGATTGAAAAGTAAAAGGAAAGAAAAGGATGGTTGTAATATTTTATCTGGATTGGCTTTATAAATGAAAATAAAGGACTTGTATGGAAATAATCAATGGAATGACGAGCTAGGCATTGCTTTAAGTCATTTCCTTTTCTACCTTTCATTTACTAGTTATTATTTTTTAATCTAAACAAGTGAAAGGAGGATTAGCATCCTATCATTTCCTTTCTTTCTTGTTTTTTGACAGAAAAAGAAGTATTACTAAAAAAAGAGTATTTAATATACAACAGTGGAGGATAAGATATCCTCCTAGAGCCTTCTAAAAAGGAAGGCTCCAAAACAAGTTACAATTACAATCATACCCACCTAAAATTAGTATACCATTGCCTCCCAACTCCTATGTAACACTAATATAGGTATATCAGGAAATTTTCCGTGAGCCTTCACCTGTAAGGAGCCTAGAAATGTCATCTATCCTACAAATCTTGGATGTGATAAGAACAGTCCTAAAAAATTCTTCGATTTCATTCTTACCATATTGTCTGAAGGCTGGCAAAGAAAGGTACCTGTGAAGAGGTTTAATAGCTTTTTATCACCCCCTCTTCATTAAGATTCGAACTCGTTTAACACTCCAAAGCAGGAGGAACCACCCAAGTCAAACCAAATGTATCAAATAACCTTGTCGACTTTTTCCAAGTCACTTCACTCTGAAAAAATAACTGATTATGTGTCTCCTTTTCCTACAAAGAATAACACAAATATTCAGTGAAGAGCTCGATTAGTCCTGTGCCTATTAGAATAATGATCCACACAAACACCTTCATCTTCTAAGGAGCTTTTCAAAACGCTTTAGCAAAAAGGATGTGATAAAAGGTTGGGTTTTGGGTTACTTTATCGAAGAAAGATTTGTATGTGTAGGATCCTGATAGGTTTAAGATCCAAATCTTGAAATCGAGTAGCTGCGAATAATGGAAGTTTTTAGCATGTTATTCATCAGTCTCTCAATCATTTAGGCTTCTAAAGAAATGAAGGGTCCAGGAAATAGTACCGCCTGTGTGAGATGTAAAGTTGCATTGTAAAGTGGGGTATGGCTGCCTTTCTGGCCATTTTGGGCCAAGTCGCATGGAAGTTATTGATAGACCAATCTCAAAGGTCCACTGGAATTGAGATAAAATTGTTTCCATAAGATTGAACAGTCATTTTTGTACTTTGTGATGTTGTGATTCTTTGAGGAGGATGTCTCATCCTTTCATTTTGTTATTTTTTTCTTCCTCCTATTATTAAGTTTATTTTTCTATGAAAAAAATATTACACCATGTATGTGATTAGTTAATGTGCTATCGGCGAACCCAAAGATCTTGCTAAAGTAGAACCCTTGAGCCATATACTGCATTAAGGCAGGTGAGGGGAATGCGTAAGTGATGCAATCAAGAAATGGCTTTCCATGGAGGATATCTTGTTCTCGACCGATTCAACTTTTACGGGAGAAAATGAACTCTAGCCTCCTTATGACCAGGGGCTCATGGGAAATTCTTTGATTTTCCGAGATTCAATTTTCGTAATTAATTTTTGATTGAAGTTACTTTGTGTGAAGGCTCCTGGAGGGTATCATATCCTTTCTTCGTGCTTTTTACTCCTAATGGTATTTCTTTGCCTATCTAAAAAGGATGGGCTTCATGGGCTTTTGTGTGTTATGTAGTTGCTTCCTATTGCATTCCCATATATTCATGTTGCAACCATAATGCTTTTGATCATTCTATGCCACATAAAACTAGGTTCTTGTAAAAAACGTCATAACCATTTAGCCAATAAATACAAATCTTTTTATATGAGATTTCTAATGCCCAAGTCACCATAAGTTTTGGACCGACAATCCACTTCCCAATTAACCAACTGATCTTTATGCGCCTTCCCTGTCCTAGCCCATGAAAACTTTCTCATAATCTTTTTCACTCTCTTAACCACCCTCACTGGCATTCCAAAAAAAGATGGGTAATAAAATGGAATACTAGACAAGCATGCTTTTATCCAAATGATTCTATCCCTTAACAAGAACAAACCTCATTCCAACATTCCAGCCTTCTAGACACTTTGCTAAACACCCCATCCCAGAATGACTTGCTCCCAGGGTTACTGCTCAACAGAATACTCAAATAGGTATCGGGAGATGATAACCTAAAACATCCTATTACTTATACTAGATCCTTCAGTGTATCAGCTGCCTTATTAATTCCTACCAACCCGCTCTTTGCCAAGTTAATATGAAGTCTAGAGATATGCTTGAACGCTTGAGTGTGGTTGTTGTCAATCTACTGTTGTGTGATAAGGATAGTGTCATTCGCGAGTTCAAGGTGGGAACCTCTACTATGTCTTTTCTGATGAAGAATCTCTTTGCCAATCTCTCTTTAATCCCCGTGACAACTATCCTTCTTATTACATCCACTACTAAGGTGACGAAGAATCGTCAAAGCAGGTTCCCTTGTTTAAATTTATCTGGATCCTATAAACCACTGTCGCTGCTTGCCATTTACTGTAATGGCAAATGATACTGATGATAAGCACCACTTTATCCATCTCCTCCATCTCATCCCAAACCCTTTCTTTTTCAATAATCTCTTAAAGAAGCTCCACATTGTCATAGGTTTTCTCAAAATCTAGCTTTAGAACTAGCCCTTTCTCGTTTATTTTATGTATATGCTCCAAAAATTTGTTCTCTACAAGGGAAATATCCAACATTTTCTGGCCATCGACAAATGCACTTTGGTTTACTAAAATGGTGTAAATCCAAGAGCTCACTAAGTCGTAAAGATAGCACTTTAAAAATAATCTTATGTACAGTAATTACTAAACTTGCAAAGAGGTAGCCATGTAACTTTTTGCGTTTGTCTTTTCTTGGGTATTAGAGTAAGAAACGTCAAATTCATGTTCTTGCTTATACTTGCATTCAGATAAAATTCCTCTTGAACATCTTCATCAAATTTATCTTAATGATACCTCAACCAGTTTGGAAAAAAAAAATCAAAAACCATCTGGTCTAAGAGCTTCATAATTGCCCAACATCCATACAGCTTTCCTAACTTCCTCTTCATGGTCTTTTCAAACTGATGCATAGTGGAGTAGTTATAAATCACCCAAATATATCAGAAATCATAATTTTATTAAAGGCTTAAATACCCAAATGGTTCTGTACTATTCTCGTTCTTCCATAAGATGGTATAGTATTTTTTAAGCTATTTTGTCCATGTACTTTAAAAAAAAAAATCGAAAGAAGTCCCTTATCCTAACAATTGTTAAATGTTTGTTAAAACAGTGTCACTTGGCACCTGATGTAGTGTCTGAGTAGATGAGTGTGTAATTTTTTTCAACATAGCATCATGGATGAATGTGTCTGTGCCTGCCAAGAAAGCTCATCAACATTGTAAATCCTGGTTTTTCATGAACATCCTAATTTTGATGATATTATGATTATTGAAGATGATGAAGAAAACGCGATAAAACTCAAGAAGCTCCTAGCAGGTGAGTTTGAATCAAACATCTGGAATAACTCGGATACTTTCTTGGCATGGAATTTGGCCGAACGAAGGAGAGAATTGTTGTCTTGCAAAGGAAGTATCTCCTTAATTTGCTCCAAGAGACTGGGATGTTGAGTTGTTATTCAGTGGAGACACCTGTAGATCTTGTAGGCAAGATTTATGAAGATGATGAAAACCGTCCAATTGACAAAAACAGGTGCCAGAGATTAGTGGAAAGTTGTTATGTGAACAATCCTACCGAAAAACATATTAAAACTGTGTACAAAATCTTACAGCACCTGAAGAAAATACCAAGAATAGGATTCCACTTCAAGAAATCTTCGAGTAAGGAAATTGAAATATTTACTGATGCTGATTGGGTAGGATCCTTGACAGACTTAAGGTCTACTGCCAGGTATTGTTCCTAGGCATGGGAAAAAGAAGCAGGAAGCAGTCCATAGTGGCAAGAAGTAGTGCAAAACAGAATTCCATGACTCATAGAATATGTGAAGGAATATGGCTCTAAAGAAGGATCAAGGAACTTGGGAATCACACCGAACTCCATTACGAGAGTTCTGTGTGATAACAAGACTCCTGTAAGTACTGCAAAGAATCCACTTCATCACGGTAGAACTAAACCTGTGGAGATAGGCTATCACTTCGTCAAATAAAAATTGAAGAGGGACTAGTCCACCTTGTATATACTCCTTGTCACCAAACAGTAGACATTTTGACGGTGGCGATTGCGAAGGCAATCTTAATGCCCCAAAATTATCAGAACTCTCCCTGAGGATGGAAGTGCCATCCAACCTATAAAACTGGACTCCAAATCCTAATATTTCCTTTCTTTTCTCTCCATTTCTTCCAATCCAAAGATAGTGGAAGGTTCTTTCATTTGTTTGACAAACTTAAGTTGTCTTAATCTCTCTTTTAATGGCGTTCATTTTTGTAGACATATTATTCTACGATTTTGTTGCTGCTTTCTTACAGTGCATCATGGGATTTAATCAAACATCAGTCAAGCTGTTAACATAATTTTGTACATTTTTTCAGTCTTTCAGTAAAACCACTTAATTTTGTAACAGTATAGGTTAAAATGACTTGTTTTGTATGCATGTATCCTTACCAGATCTGAAGATGATTCCAGTTGAAAGCTATGGAGTTAAGTGTATGTCAATAGGACTCCTTATTCAGAAGGATGCACCCGTTGTGTGGAGAGGTCCTATGGTATGTTACTGTCCATCTCTCCATCATTCGTTTTCTTTCACTTGCTCAAAATATGGTTATCCCTTTTCAGTTTAAAGTGTATCCATCTATCTTTTATATAAAAAATATTGCCCTTACACCCCATTGAGAGAACTTCTATTTTTTCTTTTGCAACCAGCCAATTACTTTCAAAACCATCAAGATATGGATAAGGAAACTAAGAATTATTTAAGCTTCATGAAGGCATACCAAGCTCAAATCTTTCTGATTAATGTGGCTGCTGTCTAACATTATTCAGTACAATTGAAATCTAACTTCCAATGCCTAGCCCAACAGACACGACAAGATGATCCATCCCAAGATTCGGTATAAATACACTCTTTCAAAAGCTTGCATTATCCTCCATAAGTCTCCACAACTGAATTTACTAAATTATGGGAAAAGAGTTCTAAAACTGTTATGAGATCCCTGTAAAATGAAATACATTAAACTTCATTATATGTCAAACCTTCTTGTACGGGGAGTGACACGGATAAGGCTTCTTTTCCAAATAGTTTTTGTCCATCCTTCTAGGAGCTTCCTTTTCTGGTCCAATTAGCCTATGAATTTGCCAATCATTACAATCTTCATTAGGTAAAAGGCTTTTTGAAGTCAGTTGTGTACTTCAGCTATTCTCTCATCTCAGTTTCCCTATAAAAGGCATGTAATTAATAGTTCACTGCCTTATTATATGTCTTTCAATCTATAAAATTATATATTAAATAGTCTAAGCATGGTGTCAGTTTTTGTCTGAGGTAGGATGTTTAGGTTTATAACAAAGACTAAATTACACAAATTCATGAGTGCCACATTAATATCAATATTAGCAGTAAAGTGTAGTGGTGATGCTGTAAGAGCCTAAATCGATGCTAAAACATAAGGATGCAATATTTTCAAGATTACAAAGATAAGTCTACAAAACCCAACTTTTAGGAATTGTCGTCTAATTTGAAGATAGTTGATTGTATCACTGCAGGTAATGAAGGCTCTTCATTCGTTGTCAAGGGGAGTTGATTGGGGAAATCTCGATATTCTTATAGTGGATATGCCTCCAGGAACTGGTGATACTCAGATAACCATATCCCAGAATTTGCAGTTGTCAGGTGTGTAAATGTAAGGGAGAGATTATCGGCACTTGTCTTGGCTTTTAACATCAACCCTTTTATGTTGGGCTCATTGGAGGAAAAAACATGCTTCTACTAACTTAGTTTTCATATAATTAGCATGTTTTTTTCATTTTAATGTCAAATTTGTTGGTCTGATCTGTTGCACTAAGATTTAGAAGGCAATTTATAGGTTTTTGTCTAGATCAGTTGCATTAACTTGTCAATTTACCACTCATTATAGACTGTGCTTGTGGTGTGACCTTAGATTTGACAATCTATAGATGTAGTTATTGTGATCTATAATAGGATATTGGCGATAATGCTTTTTGCCACGATAATTTCTGTTTTAATGATGCTAAAAACAGTGGTGTCCCTTTGCACATTACTTTCTGCTTCTTTGAGTTTTCCCTTCCTCAAGCACTGCCCACTTTTAGTTCTTTTAGCTATGATATTGTGAAGAATAATTTCTTTGAATAACGAGGGAGCCACTGGTCGTAATTTGTTTTATAACACTAATCTAGTAATGCAAGCTTCAGGAAACTGAGTTTTGCTGTATTGTATGAAACCTTTGGTGTCTTGCAGGTGCATTGATTGTGTCAACGCCACAAGATGTTGCGCTGATGGATGCCCGTAGAGGAGTTGCCATGTTCTCAAAAGTTAAAATCCCTGTATGTTTTTTCCACTGGAAATATTTGAGTGTTCTTGCTGGCAATATTATAGTTTCTTGCTAATTATAGTCGATAAGTACATTAGTTTCTTTATAACCATTACCATCTTTTAGTTTTTTTCAAGAATTCTATTCTGAAATTGTATTACGGAAACCTAGATCCTAGAGATGATGCATCCATGTTTTGTAAAATTTACTTTTTCATATAGCAAGAGAAAATATCATAATTTTGTAACAGCTTAACTTACTATATACAGACATTTACAGTTCTATGAAAAAAATGTATGCAGTTCCTGTGGCATCTATGTATATCATGGGTCATAGGAATTGACTGGAGCAGTGTCTCCCTCTTGGCTGTTTTAATTTCAATGACAGCGGATGCACTTGGTAACTGTTTTAACAGGTTTTTTTACTGTTTTTGGTTTGGTACAGATTTTGGGACTTGTGGAGAACATGAGCTGCTTCAACTGTCCACATTGTGGTGAACCTTCATTTATTTTCGGGAAAGGGGGAGCTCGGAGAACAGCTGCTGAGATGGATTTGACCTTAGTTGGTGAAGTACGTAACTTCATGATATTTTGTCTTAACTTGTCATGACAACATGCTTAGAAATCATCTCTTTTCTATGATCCATATGCTCTTTCTATCAAAATTGATTGACTTTGAATTGTATTGCTCCTATTCCACGTGAAAATTTTATATGAAAATAAATTTTTTTTAATGTTAATACAATTTATTCTCTCATAATTCTGTAGTCTTACAACTGAGTTTCACAAATTTTGGATTTATTCCAATCATAAACTTAATGTGTTATATGCTTATGTATTGACAACCATGCTATTGATGAATGCCTTTGGAAAAAGGAACTCCGTGCCTTACTCGATTTTGTTCTTATTTTGAATCTTTTGTGGGCTCAGGTACCATTGGAAGTTGATGTCAGAACAGGTTGCGATGAAGGTGTTCCAATTGTAGTATCAGCTCCCGACTCTTTAGTATCCAAAGCCTACAGTGATATGGCTCAAAAAGTCATCGACAGACTTGACAAATTACGATAGTATCCAGAGAATGAAAAATTACTTTGACTGCAGTAGTGCTGCAGCTTCTGATCTTGCAAGGCATTGAAGTGAACTCGGTGAGCAGGCCAGTAAGGTTGATTTCATTTGTGACTCATCTCTGCTAGTGAGGCTAACACTGGAAGAGGTTTTTCTTTTATCGAAAATTTTGTTTTTATTCAGATATGTTCACTGGCAGCAGTAACTATTGAGTTGTCTAGGAGTATTAATAAATTGGAAATTCAAACAAAACTGAAAATTGAAATGCAGGCTATACCGGCTTAACTAGGTTTCACTAACCTCAACTAGCTTCCGTCTTCATAAATATACATGCATATAAATGTACATGCAGGTTGTTGTTGAGGTGTCCACTGCTTTTTCTTTTTAATTTACTCATGGAATAAATTTTGAGTCATGGGGAAAATAACTACTTAATTAGACATTCAAATTTCTATGCAGTGTATTCTTACCTTGAGTTGCTAATAAACGTCATAATATACACATACATCTTTTCTGCTATCTATTTTTCTCTTATTTCTTTTATCTTAGGCTATCAGATTTCTGGGTACCATATTTGTTTCACAAGATGTTCTTTTCTTTTCTAAGTGCTCTAGAAAATGTATTTTGTCAGTTTAGAAACTGAGTTTGATTTGATGTTTTCACTCAGGAAAAGCTACTGAATCATTTTTATATGTTTAAGTATATTTATTCTTTCTTTATTAGTTAATTAATCAACATATACACATTCATAATCCTCCATAAATATGTAATTAACAAGTTCTTTAATCTACATAATTTTGGATTTCCTACTTGGCAATTTCTTTTGAGGAGGTGGCCCAAAAATTAGCTTCAGATTCTTTAACTTGCATAACACATTAGCACTTCTCTGTTCCTTTATATGTCTAACATGGTGTTTCAATGCATTCTTATTCATGGACACAGTGAAAAGACTTTTAGCTGAAGATTCTGTACCTGTTACCAAAGAAATAATGTAAATTACTGCTTTAGAAGTTGTCGAGAAAGATTATTGTACCATGTTCGTCACTTCAGGATAAGGTCAGTTCTAGAGAAGTAGCATGCTCTGTGCCGGTATAATGACAGTTTCATGCAAAGTTTCCATTGACAGTTTCATTATCGTGATCTTTCGATTATGGAGGATTAGAAAACTGAAAATAAGAGATGAGCCTGAGAAGATTTTGAGAAACTTGATGATGATGATGATGTTGATGAGAAGAAATGAAGAATCAAAGAAGGGGGTTGGTTGGTGAATGAGAGAAAAATAGTCCATGTAAGATAAGATTTGTAACGCAAGAGTAATGCATATTAGAAAAGTCAGGTAACTTTTAGGGTTAAAATATCATAATGAAGAGACAAGGGATGTGAATGGTAACCTTGAAAAGTCTCATGAATCTTAAATTGCAACTAAACAAGACATATATGTAATTTTCATGATTTCATTTTTTTTAGAATAAAAGGTTAGGTTGATTTCTTAACTAGTTTTGGTATTTTGATATATTGTTTTTATTTTAAAATATAATATTTTTATTAAAATTTATCATAATTTGATCATTATAATTTTACCGATGTACTAAGAAGTTAACTATTTAATTTTACTAAATTAATAATTATAAATCAATTGTTGTTAATTAAAAATATATTAATAAAATGACAAATTTGATATTTTCAGTGAGATTTAAACTCATAATTTTTAAGTAAAAATTAAAATATTTTAAACCAGCAGAGGATCATGTTGTGGGATTTCATAATATTTATGTTAGTGAAATAATATTTTTGTGTTGACATCAAGATGATTGCTAACAAGTTTGTGAGGTTTTTGTTGTAAGAACTTTTTTGGATTTATTTAGTGCTTATAAGCAACTTTAAGCACTCTTATGTCAATATCTATATCTTCTAAAAATATAATGTTTATTAAATTATTAGAAATAATTTTGAGGAAGTACAAATAAATGATACAATCATAACTTTTTGGCTTTTAATTGTTTGTATTTTAACTAATTTACTTAATTGTTCTTTTAATTTCAATTTAAAATTAATAATCTATATATAAAAAAATTTTAATTAATAAATATTTATAAGAAATATATTTATTATTTTGTTACCATTATTAGGACAATAAAATCTATACTCTTTAGATTTATCTGAATAAATAATAAAATATTCAGATATTGTCCTTAAATTTAAATTTTTCTCATGAGAATTGAAGATTCTTGCATATGTTGGACAACCCCATGTATGTATGTCTTAAACTTGATTTCCTACTAATCCACAATTTGAAAAGAGTTGCAGATATTACCTTACTAGGAACTCAGTTCAATATATACATTGCGGTCTTTAAGGCTTCACCCCATAAAGAAATGGTTAGGAGTATGATGAGTTATTCTTCTGTATCTATTTCTTTATAGAGTGAAGCTTTAAAGACCGCAATGTATATCTTGA